GATAATGTAGAAATAGGACAGAAGTATTAGAAAGAATGGGACCATGGCAATGGTCCCTGTGACAGTATTGAGCAGCCACTGGTTGAGCTCAGTGTTCCCACAGGCTAACTCCAGCAATGGCTTAACATCACAGAAGAAGTGATGGATCTGGTTGGAAGCACAGAAGTTCAAGCGAGAGGTCATTATGGAGTGCATCAGGGCATGGGAAAAACCAATGATCCAGACAGTGAGAGCCATCTGGGTACAAACCTGGTGATTCATGATTAGAGTGTAATGAAGTGGTCTGCAGATGGCCACAAAGCGGTCAAAAGCCATCACGGCCAACAACATGGCCTCTGTGCTGCCCAGGAAGTGGAAGAAATGAAGCTGGCTTATGCATCCCAAAAAAGAAATGGCTTTGTGTGTAGAGAGGAAGTTCTCCAGCATCTTTGGCAGTGTCACCGTGGAGTAGCAGATATCCAGACATGACAGGTTTCCCAGGAAGAAATACATAGGAGAATGGAGTCTTGGATCAGAAATAACCATCATCAGGATGGCTCCATTCCCAGCCACAGTAACAGAGTAAATGGCAAGGAAAAGTACAAAGAGAAAAGGCTGCAATACTTGGATGTCTGTGACGCCCAGGAGGAGAAATTCAGTGACTGTTGTTTGATTCAGCATCGCTTGAAAGACAAAATAATATATGGAAAGCTCTCTCCAATGGGAACCAGAGTCCTCCAGCTGCGAATGCTCCCACCTAGACAACAGTAGTTTGAGGGAGAGCATTGATGTTTTAAATAGTCTCTGCATCAGACGTTGTACAATATTTGGATCATTAGCTTATAAATTATTAAGGTTACATGTTGGTGATGGACTATTATGCAGTCCCTTTTCAAAATAAATTTATCATGAATATTTTTCTTTCTCCCAGGGATTCAAAACATGTTTCCAGTCTACCATCTTCTCTGGCTGTGAACCACATTCTGATATGACTTGCTTTTTATGGTCCTAATTCAGCTCTAACCCAGGGTACATTTTAAAGTACTTCACCACACTGCTATCTCCTGACCTAGTAAGAGACTACCTGAAGGGTTTTTGCTTAAGGGAATAGAAAATAAGAGACTAATAAGAGCTATAACAAACCTGAATAGAGATGCAGACATTGTAGAATTTGTTATAAAAAGGAAATTATTCAAAGTTTGGAAGATCCTTGAAAGGAGAAGAAAATGTTTAATGTGACTAGAATAAAAAAGTGAATTAACTAGGGAACATTTCAGGGGATCCCTTGGGATTCTGGGCTTTCTAGCTTGAGAAAAATTTGAGAGATTGTCTTCATTTATTACATGTCTGTGAAAGGATGGCTTCTAGGAATTCAGAGTAGCTTTCTTTGACAGCCATGTCTATTTGGTATATTGTTAACAACTTATCACTGTTGTTTAAGATACAAATCATATGCCAGATCTCATTTTTCTTTTTCTGACCCATAAAACAAAATCGTATCAAAAATTCACCTGGGGAATAAAACTCTTTTCCTAGCAATCAGACTTTCTGAACTAGATGACTTACTTCACTGCATTCTGAATAGTTACAGATGCATATTTACTCTGGAAAATATCTAGAGATACAGCAATAAAAATGTAGGCAGTAAGGAGCCTTCCTAATCCACAAGCACAATAAGGAGTCCATCATAAGATAGGAAAGCAGCTCTAAATCCTGGGCATTTAACTTTAATTCTAGCAAGAAGACAGACAATATGGGTAACTCCCCTGCCTGTCTCTTGTTTCATTCCTGTACCTAATTGAGTGTTCAAATTCCCAGGTAGGAAATCTTTTCCAACCTTTATACTCCTAAAAAGTAAATAGTAGAAAAACGTTTGAAGTGACATACCACCTTGGGATTGCAGCACAAGCTCTTCATCTTCCAAAATCTCTCCTTTCTGAGATTCTGCCTGTCTTTTATGATCCACAGATCTCTAGACATACAAACCCTGAGTGTCCCCTGGGTTTGAGAGGGTTATTGTAAGAGTAAACAAGATGCCTTTCTATGCCTGTAATACAAGAGAATTCTCATTGGGGAATTCCTATCTTGAGTTTCATTTTTTTTTCATTTTTCCTATTTTCTTTCCTTAATATGCTTATTTATTAGTTTCAGAACCACAAACAGTACAAATCTCCATGGCCTCATATTTTCTTGTTTATATTACTGTTCATTTCGTGGGACAGAGGTATTGACACACTTTTTCATCTTGGGAACGTCTCTGGGGAAAATTCTGCATAAAACAGAAGGAAATCAGACAATGACAGTTAAAGACGGAGGGCCAGTGACAGCCCATTGATCCATCCATACAGAAAGATGGTTATTCTATTCTAAGATGAATATTCTATTCATCTATTACTGTGGCTCTACGGAAAACAAAAAAGAGGAATAGGGAAAAGTAGGACTGATTTCGTTCCTTCTAAGTATGACTCTTCACTGTTGGTAATAACAGTAAATTATTTTCCTTCATTTTGGGATCCCAAAGCTCACATTTCTCTCTGGAGGAATGAAGCTGGTCTCCCAAGTGTGAGTCCGAATTTGTCCTTCTTGGTTTCTGTAACATAGCTGAGCTGCATCTCCTCGTCTTCATTGTATTTATACTCTGATCTGTGCTTCCATCATCATAGGGAATGTGCTAGTCATTCTGGCCATGGTTAGCTGCCAGAGGATTCATATCCATGTGTTTCTTCCTGACTAATCTATCCTA